AAGCAGAAATCCTTTAACTTAGATCAGTTGAGCTGGAAAGCTTGAGGGTAACTTGTGGCGACTTTGGAGGAAACGTCTTCGGCTAGCGGCTAGCTGCAATGGGAATACAAAGAGCCTTGGAAATCTCGCACACGGGGAAGGACAATCGTGTTGAGACGGTACAGGAAGTCTTGCCTCGGGGCATATGTGCAAAGGGTTGCTTTGTGTTTGACCAGCAGCATTGCATCCTGTCCCGGGCCCCAGCATGAGCTGGCCCTCCAGATTCACTTTGACGCCGCACTTGTCACCCTGAAAGAGGTGGCACGATTGAATGATGGGATGATCCGCACTCCTGTTCCTGTCAACTCAAATGCATAATGAATATGGCATTAACTATGTCTTTGTTCTATACAACGCTGTTGTGGAGATATGACGACTAGCAGCCGCTGGTGCGCTTTTGGTCGCTGTGACTTGCAGAAGTCGGCCAGCCTTTCGGATTCCTTGCTGGGCATCGTTCGTGTTGAAGGTGATCACCTGTCACTGATCTGAAAGCACAAACATAAGGGTTACTTTGGGTGACATGAGTCTAGTGCGCTAACATCGATAACTCTACACGTTCTCAACCTCTACTGAACAAAACCACTTACACCATCCTCATGTGTAGAGTAAAGCGACAAACACACAGGCTGGGTGTGTATTAGAATAGGCAAATCCCCAGTTCGACAAGCTGCAAAAAGGAACAATGGAAAATGCAAAGCCCATTGGTTGGATGTTTTTACATGTAAAAAAGGAAAAAGAAGGGTCTTCTTTCCAATACACACCCACAGCTCCACGCAAAAGTGCGGTGGGTAGTACCCCGCCGATGGGTGCTGACCACTGATCCGTCGAGCTTCTTCGATCACCTCAGCGGCTTCTGGTGAAGAGGCTTCCAATCTTCAGTGGAGTCATTAGAATTGAGATCTTCCTGTTTCCTTCGTGTTCAAGCCCCAATGTCTGTTTTTCAGCAACTGATGTTCTACAACTAGGTAGTATAGGTAGAATCTATCTCAACGACCATCAGTGGCTTCTCCAGTGCCCCAAACCAAGCGCCTGATTCATGATCTTGGTGTTGGAAGCTTGCTTGGGATCCAAGGTAATCGATATGGATACCTGGCTCTGCGGGGCCAGGTATGGCGTGTGCTCGGTGTCAGGAAAACGTGAAAGGCAAAAATGCAAACTCTTTCTACACAAGCAGGTGGTTCGGGCAGAGTAAAGAATCTGTTCTGCCACCTTCCCTTGTGTCAAGCACCTTGTTTTCAGACTTTGTCGGCCTCATTACTTACACAGGCCTGTTCTCCAGTCACTTTGCACTACCATACTTCACAAGCTTCTCGGCAACATCTCCCCAACCCACGAACCAGAGCATGGCATGCCCATCAGCAAACTAGCATGAAAACGGAACGAACGAAGAACGTGGATCTGAAAATGTGTGGCTCCCAGTGATAACTGATAACAATCATTAACCCGTGTTTGAAAGACTTCAAGGAGACCCTCCACATCCTTGTCACCTGAACATAAGACATCAGATTGCTGAACTCAACCGACTGTCAGGCACTCGGCAAGAAAAACATGTTACTACAGACACTCCAAACAGCCCTTGGTCCCTCAAAACCCAGGGATTTGAGACCCCCAAAACCCTCCATTATGCCGGTCCAATCCGTCCGGGTGAAAAAGATCCTTCGTGGATCCCATGTACCCGCCCAGTGACAGACTCTCCAAACACTCCCACTCCGCACTGCACTCAAACCTCAATCCCTCAATCCCCGCCCCCACTCCATCGCTTGGGCATGCTCCAGTCGCCTTGGTGAAGCGATCGGGATCGTAGGGCTTGGGACCACGGTAGACGAACTTCCCCTTCAACGACCGCAGCCACCTGGCCATCCGGGGCCGTCGTCCACATGTCCGCGTGTGTTGTCCGCGAGTCAAGGTGCGGTGCCGTCGGACATGGCAGACAGTGGTTCGAACGTACTGGTGCCATGAACAGCCGCGTCCATGCGAAGTCGACCAAGTGCAAGACAGCTAAAAGAACGGAGCAAGTGAGGTTCCAAGGTCTTGAACTAATATATAATTAGGTTGGAGGCTGGAGGCCATCGCTCTTAGGTTGGAGGCCATCGGCCGTCGCTATTAGGTCTTGAATTAATCAGGAAAGTTCCAAGGCTGAAACAATCCGCCTGGTCTTCTCCTCCTTGCGAGAACCTTGCATTCCGATGGTGTATTTGTTCTTGCCAATCCTTAGCTGCTCAGAGTCACAAGGTACCAATGTGACGGCTGGAACGACCTCAATAAGGAACGTACTTAACTCTGGTTTTCATGACAGGCACCGCCGCCACCTGGGAATCATCAGGCCTCAAAAATCATCAGTTTGTCACCGATGCAAGTTAGAGCCCACCCAACAAAGGGCATGCAGGTCTTTTGGCATCTACTACTGCAAATCCTTGTCTGTGCAGCTCACTTTTTGCCAGGTTTAGCTTCTGCAAGACGGATCACTAGAGAATCTGCTCGGGCCTCAAAGTGGCAGATTCAGAAATGTGCCGTCGAGTCTATATAGTGTGGTGGTAGAAAGGCCATCTTACAAACCAACCTGCGTTTGAGAAATAGCACCAGCAGGAGAAGAAACAAAGAGAGGAGTACCTGGCAAGACCATGCAGCAATATTTGGGAAGAGCAGTCCACACTTTTGTGCAAAGGTCAGTGCTGTACCTCCAAATTGATTGGCTATGAAAGCCAATGCACAAATAGCAACGCCTGACCGGCACAAGGGCATTCATTATTTTGTGTGCAGTTCTGACGGCCCATCTCGTGTCGAACGACTGCCTGCCCCGAAGCGGCTTCTCCGCATGGAAGCCTGCCAGTCGGGTGACCCGCACTCTCGGGCGCCTCTGATCATCTCTGACCCAACATCTCAAAAACAAAAGCTCCCAAAGGAAGACCCATACCTGTTGCAAATGATATCCAAAGCCTGTAGCAGAAAGGAAATGAAAGAGCCGCCCTTGGCCTTCTCGGAGTACAGCCGAGGCTCCATCCACTTTCGTTTCGATTCCTCACGCGAAGGCTTTTGGGGCTCAGACTCATGACGATGCGAATCTGGTGTGAGCCAGTTCTTGACGGGCTTAGACTCATTAGACTCTACACTTCTCTGACAAGATTGCATGATTTCATTGTGCAGCTTGTACCACTGATGCTGACCGATGCTCTTTGTTTTTTAGGTTTCCCAGGGCCTTGGGAAGGCCGCCAAGGGCTTGCAGCTCCATGCAGCGCCTGACAAAAGTAAGACAACTGCAAGAAAGGGCAAAGCAGCCGGAAAAAAAGACAGTAGCAGTCAATAGGCACCAGACCGGTCTGGTTGAACCCAGATTCTCGGCTGCGTCGGAGCTAGAAAGTTGCGAAAGGAAGTCCCCAACTTCAATGCCATCAAAAGCATTCCAAGCTTCCAATCACCAGAAAGACACAATAACAAAGCATCAAAAAAAACAATCTTAAGCCCAGCTTGGATTTTCCGCTCCTTCTCGGCCTTCTCGTGCGATCTTCACAGGGAGGCCAGTCACGTCATCACAGTCACCAGTCTGGGGGGCACTTTGGCCTCAAACATCCATCGAAGTCCATGTGGGCCATTGCCGGAGTGAGAGCCGCTCCTGGGACGCTAGCGGCTAGCGGTGGCTCAGACCTTTTTGGGAACGTTTTTCCCCCAAAACCACCAGTGGCCGATGACAGAATACCCTCAATCGCCCCGCAAATCTGGGTGTGAAGCTGGAGTTCTTCCTGGCCAAAAACCCGAAAGATTCATGTCACTTCTTCCTGGCTCCCACCGCGAAGACTGCTGGAGCTGTGAGCCTGAACCAGGATTAGCCGGTCCTCATACTCAGGCAAGAGAGTGTTTGTCGAACCTCGAGACCTTGCACATCACGGATTGACGACTCAAAAAAAGCAAAAAAGAGGCAAGAGGGTGGTCAGATCTGACCTTCTTGCAGGCGGCATCCAGGATGAATAGAACAGGAATCTGTGCCTCTCCAGCAGAAATAGAAAAAAAACAAAAAACAACGAGCCAAACACTGAAATATTCCAAGGAAGATCCCTTTTCAGACACAAACTGATCGAGGAGGAGACAAGTCTGACTTGTTCGCAGTCCCACAGTGGAGCAGCCGACTGTCCATCAGTACCTCAGCTGCGCAGTGCCACGCGTGCAGCGTCATGCGTGAGAGCACAAGACATCAACAGTCAAGCACCAGACACAATCTCCACATTCCATTGTGCAAAGGACTGCGCAGCTCTCGTCTACCTAAAGCAAGTATCCACTGTGATAATGTGCCCAAACGTTTGTCAAGCAAAGCAGGACACATCTTGAAACAAGGACCCTGCGAATTCCAGTTGGCGAACCAAGCCATGCTCACGAAGACACGAAGACACGAAGACCTGCCTCCTTCAGTCCCAGGTGCAGCTCGCCGTCCTCACATCGGAGACTAAACTTGTCCGCCAAGGCTTCAAATCGTGTCTTTTCGTCCAAGGCTCCAAGTGGCTTCTTGGATACATCTTCGTGGGCCCTCGCCTTTGAAAACGAGAAACGGCCGTTCGGCCACGAGCAAGGACTCTCAGATCAGCACTCTGCAGGTATGTCGTGAAGAGCCACCTGGATCCCAAATCAAAACTGATGTGTTTCTGAAACTTCAGCCTTGTAACGCATACAACTAGGCGCAAGAGCCGTGTTAATATTTTTCTGCACAAAAGCTCGGCATGTCGCTTTCTGCGCAAAAATGGATGCCATCAAAATCCAAAAAGCACCCAACCCCAAGAGCTGCATTCCAAGCTTCGAGCAAAGACGGTCACCACCTGGACACACAAAAAGCTAGTGGACATCAAGTGGAATTCATGCAGTCACGACCTGCTGCCACTACCGGCTGCTCTGACCCTGCCTGCTGATCATACACATGCGAGGTATCGGCATGTACCTCGCCACGAATTTGTTCCGCGATCCGCAAAGCAACAGGGACAGCCGACAATTGATTCTCCGCACTGGCTGCCCTGGATCAGCTGGAAAAGTGCACATTGCCTTAGCCAATCTGACAACGACCAAGCCACCTCAGTCCTTGCTGAGGCATGCTGTGTTCAAGTGAAGACCAGTTGCATCTAGATGCGACCAAGTATAGTTGTCTACTACCTTCTTATATAATCTACCTCTATCTTCTTCATCCTTGGATATGGACGGCGAGTTCAGTGAGCTGCCAAGAAGGGCGCAGCGACTCCAGCACCTCGGTCGCAAACATTCAGTCACTTCATTATCTTCAAGAGGAAAAGCGTTAAGAATGGCACTCCCTGCAAGGACTCCAGCAAAATCCTCAATGCATCTTTGACCTGAATTTCAAGTAAGAAGAATATACTAGACCAAGCAAAAGATAGAGGGGTAAAAATCGTGAATGCAAACCGTCTGAATTGAGTGTATGAGTGGATGCAGACCTCAGAGGAAAGCCGGAGTTTCAAATCCCACCGCTGCCCAGTGTCCTTTCGTGCATGCAAGAACTACAACTGGAAGAGCTGCTATACAATGAATAGGACGTGATTGAAATGTCTGCCTCATACCCATAGACATCGCCAAAATATGTGCTATCACCTTCAGCCCTTCGAGATGCAAGTTCTTCGTGCACACGCTTGCAAACAGCCTCCAGGATCCAAGAGTCTTCCTCTGGATTTGTTCCATCATTGTTGTGATTACATGCCGACCTCTGCGACATCTGCTGGCAAGATCCTCTTGACTTTCACGAGTCCGTCTCGGCGAAACGCTCCAGCTACCTGACCCACGGAGAAAATACAGGTCCAAGTCCGTGTGGCTCTTAACATGCAATGTGGTTGTTTGCACCATCGAGTTTGCTCAGTAGACCAAGCTCAACAAAGCCACAGCGGATCTAGCCTGCCGCGGATTATCCACGAGCGCAGCTGCATCGACCTGGCGAAGTCCGAATTCTTCAGATCCGACAGACATACCACTCCTTGAAATGGAAGAGGAAAACCACCTGTTTGTAGAGTAAAGTGATCATCAAAGGAAGCATGCCACTCATTTCTGTGACAATTTCAAGTGTAACCACCAAGATCCCAACGGAGAAACCGTCTAAACTGGATGTAGCCACAGCTGACATGGCGCATTCATTGCGAATGTTGGAAAGATCAACACCGATTGTTGCCGCAACTGATTTTGCACTGCGTCCTCTGCAACCATTGTTCACATTTCGTACATCCAGCACGTTGGCAATAAATGCAGCAACATTCTTGTTGCATCAAATGAAGTTGCCTATAGGTGTCCCACCCAGATTGCAATTTCCTCTCATGCATGATGGAGTGAGTTAAAGCAAGCAACTCAGCCACACATGCGACGTACATGAGTGTGTCCAACATTTCAGCTGTTCGGTTTTCTTCACTGTTTTTGGTTGTTCCCGAAAGCACTGCGAAGGGTTCTTCCGGAAAATCCCTTGAACACTGACACTTCGACACTTACACTTACACACTGACACTTCCACCACACTTGCACTACAACATGAACGCTATACGTACCCCACTGTGAGTGGAAGAGCGAAAGCATCCAAGTGCAAAGTATGCAAGTGTCAAAGTATGCAAGTGTAAGTATGCAAGTGATGGGTATGCAAGCATGCAATGAGTATGCAAGCATGCAATGAGTAGGCAAGTGTGAGTATGGAAAACTAGCACGGGAGATGTCCTAATGAAAAAGCATTTCCCCACTTTATAAATTCTCTCTTAAAGGCGGAGGGCGGGACGACCAGCGTCAACCGAAAGTGCAGCCCTCTGCGGAGATCGTGCGTGTCCAGTGCGCGAAATGCAGGCGAGAGTGCGATTTGTCCGGTCCGCGCGCAACCCTCTGCGGAGATCGTGCGTGTCGAGTGCGCGAAGTGCAGGCTAGAGTGCGATGCGCCTGGTCCGCACGCAACCCTCTGCGGAGATCGTGCGTGTCGAGTGCGCGAAATGCAGGCGAGCGTGCGATGCGCCGGGTCCGCGCGCAACCTTCTGCGGAGATCGTGCGTGTCGAGTGCGCGAAATGCAGGCGAGAGCGCGATGGGGTATGTGCGCGCGCAACCCTCTGCGGAGATCGTGCGTGTCGAGTGCGCGAAACGCAGGCGAGAGCGCGATGGGGTGTGTGCGCGCGCAACCCTCTGCGGAGATCGGGCGTGTCGAGTGCGCGAAAGGCAGGCGAGAGGTGTACTTTGTAGTATAACTTTAGTACACGGAGTATCTAGGGAGCTGGAAGCTGAGCACTGGCGACTTTATAGTACAACTGTAGTACGCGGAGTATCTGGCGAGCTGGAAGATGAGAACTGTTGACTTTGTAGTACAACTTTAGTACGCGGACTAGCTGGGGAGCTGGAAGATGAGAACTGGCGACTCTGTAGTGCCATTGGAGTACGCGGAGTAGCTGGGGAGGGGAGCTGGAAGATGAGAACTTGCGACTTGGTAGTACAACTGTAGTACGCGGAGCAAGCTGTGGAGCTGGAAGCTGAGAACTGGCGACATTGTAGTACAACTCTATTACGCGGAGTAGCTGGGGAGCTGGAAGCTGAGAACTGGCGACTGTCTAGTACAACTTTAGTACGCGGAGCAATCTGTGGAGCTTGAAGCTGAGAACTGGCGACTGTGTAGTATCTAGCCGGATGCGTCGTAGCTCTGGGTACGCCGCTTGCAGCAGGCAAGGTGCAAGGACAGTCCTCACGGGAGTACCATCCTGACCCTAACGCTTTGCCATCCGGCCGGTAGGTAAAGAGGAAGCAACCGCCAATACTGCCAGCACGAAATATGATAAGGCCATGTTTCATAGTACCGGTCTCATACCAGGCGCCAGAGTTGTTGTCACAACCACTGGACTCATTTGGGAGCAGAAAGGACAAGCGCATTCGTCCCTTCGAATGCACATGGAAAGAGTGGATGTCCTTGTCAGTGAGGAGGCCCAGCAAAGAGGGTTTGCTGGTCCTCATTAAGGTCGAGGGAGCTCAGTAGCTTGGTAATAGCTCGTCCCGCTGGGTTCTCTTTGTGGGCGACACCAAAGCGCAGGTTAGTGGTGATGGCGAACCATGCGAGTAGAAAAGTGAGCGATCTGGTTTTACCAGCCCCAAAGACCCCTGCTATGGCCAAAGATCGACCGGATTGCAGAGCTGAGACCATGGACAGGGCAATAGACATGATATGAGCACTGTCTGTACCAGGAGACCCAAGAGCATGTGGGCTATGCAGAAGCTCTTCAGCCCCTTCGAATTGGTATGAGACTGGAATGCGTACGGGATGCCCAGTGCAGTGGGCTTGTGCTCCAGGGGCATTGTGGACATTTGGAGCAAGTGGTCAGCTGATACTGTGGTCCCGACCTCAGCCAGACTAAGAATGGGGAGCCCCACCGTTTGGACCTCAAGCTGTTGTAAGCTCGGTGGTAGTCCCCATTGGATCTGCGTGTTTACTACCACTTCTGCAGCAGTCGGCAAGGGGGCAAAGGCCTCTGGGGTTGGGATGTAGGCTACTGTCCATGACCTAGGACTACTTTGCCGAATTGCCAATTCTTCCTTTGACTCAAGGGAGCCCTGCCTAGACTTCTTCTTGGGTTGGGTGACATATTCGAGCAGCACTACTAACAGTGCGAAGACGCTACCTTCTCGGAGCACTAGTCGGTATACTCTCCCGACTTGACTGCCCATGTGGATTTGCTCGGAGGGCAGCGTGGCCAGGGATTCGAAGCTCTGGACAGGTTGCTCAGGGGAGACAAAGGCCGCAGCCCTCGAGTTGGGAGTGAAAGCTATCTTGTATTCCAGTAGCAGGAGTTTTTGGGGCAGGCAAGACGAGATCCCTCACTTTCTTGCTCGCCTGGCTAGCCCTCACCACCCATCTCAAAATTGCAGTAGTGCATAAAGAGAACCCAGCGGGTAGGGCCATTACCAAGCTACTTACTGCTTTTTGAACTTAAACCGGATCACCAGAGATTTTCGTTCGGCCGGTTAGCAGAGAGGAGGCAGAAGCTAACACTGCCTGCACAAGCTACGACCTGCGTGCCAGCGAAGCTGCCCCTTACATCCCAGGCTGCAGAGTTGTCATCGTTACCACGGGGCTAGTCTGGGACCAAAAAGGGCAGACCCATTCCACGCTCAACACACATATGGAAAATGTTGATCTGCTCATCAGTGAAGAGGCACAGCAGGACATGGACTTGAAATCTGCCTTCGCACCAGCGGTCCCACGCCGTGCATTCTTTCGGCTACTACTGGGGGACCCCAGACAGAGTCCTGGTGGAGTGGCACACGCACAGAAAAAAAAACTCGCACTCTCCTTCTCAAAGCCCCCATTGGACTACGAGCCCCCAATATCTGGTATATGCCACATGAGTTCCCAGGGGTCTTTCAGGCGCTCCTCCACCACGGTCGAGGCTTCGGACACACTAAACTTGAAGACGCAGCAATAGCCGTCAGCCGGGAAGTTGCTGGTTCCGCCCGGATAAAGTTAAGGCTGTGTCCCCCTTCGCCCGTCAGCCAGTCCACTTACAGTGATCTCTCCAGTGTTGACCTGGACCTGCCGGCAGGGCTCCTGGTCGGCCTCGGATATGCGGCCACCTGCCCTGACAGCCCGCTAGACGTGTGCTTGGCGCAGCTTCTGCACTCACTCCCGGCCAATTTGGGGGCCGTGGCAATATCGTTCCTGGAATCCTTGTTGGATTCAAAGGTGCTGCCTGGAACGCGGCAGGCACAGAGGCAGCTCCAGGAGGTCCCATGGGTGCCGGAGCCGGTGGAAACGGCTCGGGCGGCGGGGTCTGTTGACTCGCTCGAATTCCAGGCTGGCGAAGCGCCATCTTCTGACCCTCAATGAGCTCTTTGAGAAGTTGATTGCTTTCCTTCATGGTCGATGTCCCTTCCTTGTAGCTATCATTGAGCGCCACAAGGCCTTCGTACGTGTTCTTCGCAATCTCAAGGGATTTGGTGGCATTCTCCACCAACTTCATAGTGTTGAGAAGATTCTCACCAATGTTCTTTCCCTGGCTCATCAACAATTCCTTCACGCTCACATTGACAAGCTTGGCGCCGGAGCCGCTGACTTGCCAAGCACAGTTTTCCAGTTGCTTCTGGATAGCTTTGACTCCAGCCAAGATCGGGGCTCCTTGCTCCCCGTTGACCTTGATATTGGCCGCTAGGGCAAGGATCCCATCAGACATGCGCAGCAAACTGGTATGCTGGGCATCAAGCTTCGGGCTGACCACGCCACTGGATTCGGCCACGCTGGTCGCAGCGTCCTGCACCTTTCCAATGACTGATGCTAGTTGACCGAATCTGTTGGTTGCCCAAACCAGACAATCAAGGAGGGATTCAACAGTGACCTCCCTGGCCGATGTTGGCATAGGGTTACTTAGGCTGCTTGTGCCCTCCGAACGGTCAACCGACATGTTCTCGAGCGCCACCAGCTTCTCGAAGTAGGACCAAGCCAACATCGAGGAACCGGCCCTCAAATGGAAGAGGCGCCCTTCCAAGTCGGGCAACTCACCACGCAAATCTGCCAGACTTTTTTTCCCGAAAAAGACATAAAGCCTTCCTGTAGAGGCGACGTCGGGAAAATGTCGCTTGCTTGGTTGCCATCTGCCTCCTGGCTTGCAAGCTCAACAATCAGGCGTTTGAGGTGGTATATCAGCTTCTCCACATTGGTCGCACCAGTGTGCCATCTCGTGGCTTCACAACGCAAGTCGTTGAGTGCACTGACCTCAATCAAAGAAGCTGAGGCCTCTCCTTGGAATTGGCAGTCTGCAAGCTCAGACAAGCTGACTGTCATCAAATCGCGCCCCGGAAACAGCACGATCGTGTCGCGCTCGGCGGCGGGACGGGCACTGGTCGCAGCGGTCGCAGCAGACATGTTTCTCAACGGATGTCGGTGTGCGAAAGAAGAGCGTCAAACAGGCGATGGTTCGCGGAAGCGGCTTGAGACAAAGCATCATGGCTTCCTCATACTTGCAACACTCACAAAACAAGTTCAAACCACAAACCAAGCTTTCAAGATGACTACTCACAAAACATCAACCTATCAAGACTCTTCCAACCTCAAACTGCAAACTGGCAAACAAGGCAAACAAAACACATCTGTTCCACACGTCTCACCGCCAAATTCAACTCAAGCTACTATCGCTCTAGTTGTCTCCAACTGCAAACATGCAAAATTCAAAAACCAACAAACATAAACA